GTCAAGAAATTTTGAGGAAAATAAGAAAAAATTTTGGAGTGAGATAAACAAGTTACGAAAGCCTAGGGAATGAATGGATTTGCCAGTTAAAAACAGAGTAGGGGAGTTAGTAGATGGGGAGATGGGGCTATTGGGTAGATGGTGGGAATATTTTGAGGAACTTTTAATTGTCAATGAAGAAAGGGAGGCGGTAATTTCATGCACTGGCCAGGGATGTATAACATCTTTTAGGAGTGAAGAAGAGCAGGATGTGAGTGTGGGGGAGGTGCATGAGACATTACGTAGAATGAAAGGGGGTAAAGCAGCTGGAACTGACAGGATCGTGACAAAAATGTTAATGGCAGGGGGGATATAGTGTTGGAGTGGTTGGTATTTTTGTTTAATAAATGTATGAAAGAGAGGAAGGTACCTAGGGATAGGCAGAGAGCATGTACAGTTCCTTAATATAAAGGGAAGGGGGAAAAGAGAGACTGAAAAAATTATAGGGGAATAAGTTTACTGAGTATTAGGTAGCAGGTTGGTAGACAGTAGCCGGCCAGGGAGGTACTACCGTCCTGCCAAGTGAGTGTAAAACAAAAGCCTGTAATTGTTTTACATGAAGGTAGGATTGCTGGTGTCCTTTTTTCTGTCTCATAAGCATGCAAGATTTCAGGTATGTTTTCCTACTTCTACTTACACTTAGGTCTCATTACACATACATGTACAAGCATATATATATATATATACAGTGGACCCCCGGTTAACGATTTTAATCCGTGCAAGAGGGGTAATTGTTATGCGAAATAATCGCTATGTGAATGAATTTTCCCCATAAGAAATAATGGAAATCAAATTAATCCGTGCAAGACACCCAAAAGTATGAAAAAAAAAATTTTACCACATGAAATATACATTTTCCCACACACAAAGAGAAGGATACATGCACAATAGTAGAGTAGTACATGCACAGTATATATTGTGCATGTACTAGTCTACTAAATGAAGAATAAATGACACTTACCTTTATTGAAGATGCAGCAATGACTGATGAGACACTGTGTCCTGGGAGTGCCTTTTCCTCCTGAGTACTGTAGGTCCTGTTTGGCATTTTCTTCCAGAACAGGCCTTATCACACTGTGTATGCCACTACGATTCTTAAATCTCTCAAACCAACCTTTGCTGGCTTTAAATTCACCAATATGAGCACTAGTTCCAGGCATTTTTCCCTGTTCACCTGGGTGTTAGTCGACTTGTGTGGGTTGCATCCTGGGAGACAAGATTAAGGACCCCAATGGAAATAAGTTAGACAGTCTTCGATGACACTGACTTTTTTGGGTTATCCTGGGTGGCAAATCCTCTGGGGTTAATTGTTTCTTGGTATTCTCAATAAGCCACACCAACAACGGTGCTACAGCAGCAGCAGCAGCTGACAGTGCAGCAGCAGCAGCAGTTGACAGTGCAGCAGCAGCAGCAGCTGTACCAACAATAGTAGCGATGGTTGATTGGGGTTTATTATACAACCTGGCCAGCTCGGAGACATGCACTCCACTTTCATACTTATCAATGATCTTTTTCTTCATCTCTATTGTAATTCTCACCCTAATTGCTGTAGGGTTGGCACTAGAAGCTTTCTTGGGGCCCATGGTCACTTATTTCCAGAAAAAGCACCGAAAACACTGTAATAATACGAAATATTCCGATTGTATGCTTGGATGTTACCGCGGAGGCTGGCTGGTAAACAATGCCACCGGCGGAACATGTGAGCATGGCTCAGGCCGCACATTGGACGCGTCTCGGACGAAAATCGGTAAGCGGGTTTTTAAGCGGTATGTGAGGCAAAATTTTTGCAATTAAAGTAAGCGGTATGCGAAATAATCGCTATGTGATGCCATCGTTATGCGGGGGTCCACTGTATATATACACCCCTCTGGGTTTTCTTCTATTTTCATTCTAGTTCTTGTTCTTATTTATTTCCTCTTATCTCCATGGGGAAGTGGAACAGAATTCTTCCTCTGTAAGCCATGCGTGTTGTAAGAGGCGACTAAAATACTGGGAGCAAGGGGCCAGTAACCCCTTCTCCTGTATAAATTACTAAATTTAAAAGGAGAAACTTTCGTTTTTCTTTTTGGGCCACCCTGCCTTGGTGGGAGATGGCCAGTTTGTTGAAAGAAGAAGAAGTTTACTGAGTATACCAGGAAAAGTGTACAGTAGGGTTATTATTATTAAGACAGAGAGTAAGTTTGCAGATGAGCAAGGAGGCTTTAGAGTGGGTAGGAGATGTGTAGATCAAGTGTTTACATTGAAGCAATATGTGAAAAGTATTTAGATAAAAGTAGGGAAGTTTTCATTGCATTTATGGATTTAGAAAAGGCATATGATAGAGTGGATAGGGAAGCAATGTGGCAGATGTTGCAAGAAGTATATGGAATAGGTAATAAGTTACTAAATGCTGTAAAGAGTTTTTATGAGGATAGTGAGGCACAGGTTAGGGTGTGTAGGAGAGATGGAGATTACTTCCCGATAAAAGTAGGTCTTAGACAGGGATGTGTAATGTCACCATGGTTGTTTAATATTTTTTTTTTTTTTTAATAAGTCGGCTGCCTCCCACTGAGGCAGGGTGACCCAAAAAGAAAGAAAATCCCCAAAAAGAAAATACTTTCATCATCATTCAACACTTTCACCTCACTCACACATAATCACTGTTTTTGCAGAGGTGCTCAGAATACAACAGTTTAGAAGCTTATACGTATAAAGAAAAACTGCAAAGGTTAGTGGATGAGTTTGGGAATGTGTGTAAAGGTAGAAAGTTGAAAGTGAACATAGAAAAGAGTAAGGTGATGAGGATATCAAATGATTTAGATAAAGAAAAATTGGATATCAAATTGGGGAGGAGGAGTATGGAAGAAGTGAATGTTTTCAGATACTTGGGAGTTGACGTGTCGGCGGATGGATTTATGAAGGATGAGGTTAATTATAGAATTGATGAGGGAAAAAAGTTAAGTGGTGCGTTGAGGTATATGTGGAGTCAAAAAACGTTATCTATGGAGGCAAAGAAGGGAATGTATGAAAGTATAGTAGTACCAACACTCTTATATGGGTGTGAAGCTTGGGTGCTAAATGCAGCAGCGAGGAGACGGTTGGAGGCAGTGGAGATGTCCTGTTTAAGGGCAATGTGTGGTGTAAATATTATGCAGAAAATTCAGAGTGTGGAAATTAGGAAAAGGTGTGGAGTTAATAAAAGTATTAGTCAGAGGGCAGAAGAGGGGTTGTTGAGGTGGTTTGGTCATATAGAGAGAATGGATCAAAGTAGAATGACATGGAAAGCATATAAATCTATAGGGGAAGGAAGGCGGGGTAGGGGTCGTCCTTGAAAGGGTTGGAGAGAGGGGGTAAAGGAGGTTTTGTGGGCAAGGGGCTTGGGCTTCCAGCAAGCGTGCATGAGCGTGTTAGATAGGAGTGAATGGAGACGAATGGTACTTGGGACCTGACGATCTGTTGGAGTGTGAGCAGGGTAATATTTAGTGAAGGGATTCAGGGAAACCGGTTATTTTCATATAGTCGGACTTGAGTCCTGGAAATGGGAAAAACAATGCCTGCACTTTAAAGGAGGGGTTTGGGATATTGGCAGTTTGGAGGGATATGTTGCGCATCTTTATATGTGTATGCTTCTAAACTGTTGTATTCTGAGCACCTCTGCAAAAACAGTGATAATGTGTGAGTGTGGTGAAAGTGTTGAATGATGATAAAAGTATTTTCTTTTTGGGGATTTTCTTTCTTTTTTGGGTCACCCTGCATCGGTGGGAGATGGCCGACTTGTTGAAAAAAAAAAAAAAAAAAAAAAAGGTTAACCATAGAATTGATAAAGGAAAAAAGGTGAGTGGTGCATTGAGGTATCTGTGGAGACAAAAAATGTTATCCATGGAGGCAAAGGAGGGAATGTACAAAAGTATAGTGGTACCAACACTCTTATGTGGGTGTGAAGCTTGGTTTGCAAATGCTGCAGCAAGGAGGCAATGTCCTGTCTAAGGGCAAAGTGTGGTGTAAATATTATGCAGAGAATTTGGAGTGTGGAAATTAGGAGGAGGTGTGGAGTTACTAAAAGTATTGGTAGGTAAGAGACATAGGCAACAGTTAGGCAACTTTATTCCGAAACGTTTCGCCTACACAGTAGGTTTCTTCAGTCGAATACACAAAGTAGGCAGGAACAGTAGAGAAGACGATGTAATCAGTCCATCACCCTTGAAGTCGTAGGGTGATGGCCTGATTACATCGTCTTCTCTACTGTTCCTGCCTACTTTCTGTATTCGACTGAAGAAGCCTACTGTGTAGGCGAAATGTTTCGGAATAAAGTTGCCTAACTGTTGCCTATGTGTCTTACCTACCAACCTGTCGATATTGTATACCATTTTGATGTTCACTAAAAGTATTAATAAGAGGGCTGAAGAGGGGGTGTTAAGGTGGTTTGGTCATTTAGAGAGAATGGATCAAAGTAAATTGACTTGGAGAGCATATAAATCTGTAGAGGAAGGAAGGCGGGGTAGGGGTCATCCTAGAAAAGGTTGGAGGGAGGAGGTAAAGGAGGTTTTGTGGGTGAGGAGCTTGGACTTCCAGCAAGCATATGTGAGCGTGTTAGATAGGAGTAAATGGAGACGAATGGTTTTTGGGTCCTGATGAGCTGTTGGAGTGTGAGCAGGGTAATATTTAGTGAAGGGATTCAGGGAAACCAGTTATTTTTATATAGCCGGATTTGAGTACTGGAAATGGGAACTAGAATGCCTGGACTTTAAAGGAGGGGTTTGGGACATTGACAGTTTGAATGGATGTTACAAATCTCCATATATGCTTCTAAACTGTTGTATCTTGGTGTCTCTGCAAAGACACTGATTATGTGTTAGAGAGGTGAAAGTGTGGAATGATGATGAAAGTATTTTCTTTTTAGAGATTTTCTTTCTTTTTGGGTCACCCTGCCTTGGTGGGAGACAGCTGACTTGTTGAAAAAAAAATTGAATGAGAGATGTTACCATGAAGTATCCTCAATAATGTCTTTAAGCAATGTGAGCTGAGGCAGACTGATGTGTAGGTCAATATCTGAAGTGGCATTGATCTCCAAGGAATGTCCTGCCACTAGTGTCTTGTGTGGCTCTCCACCCTCATCCATGCTACCTTGGTACACTATGGCTGGAGCTGCTATTACACGACTATCAAACCTGAAAGAAAAAATAGAGTTGCAGTCATGGTACTCAAAAATACAGTAGATTGTGTGTTTTAGGAACTATGGGGATGGTTACCTGGAGTATACCTGAGGGGGGGAAGTCAATGCCCCTGTGCCCCAGTCCATGACCAGGCCTCATGGTGGATCAGGGTCTGATCAATCTGGTTGTTACATTTATTTTACCAAAGTTGAAGACATGTTTTTTTTTTTTTTTTTTTTTGTGACTTACTGATTAAAGCTTTTACATACAGGTAAACTTAAAATAATATGGGCATATCAATGAAAAATAAAAATAATTCAGATCTTTTAATATATTTTCTAAAGCTAATGAATAAGCATAACACACAGCATGAATGGAGGAAGCAAGTTAATTTTTAAACTGTAAAACAACTCAACATCCATCTCTTGCCAAGGTAGGGTTAACCCAAAAAGAAAACACACTCATCAACATTCACTCAACTGCTGTCTTTCCAAAAGTGTGCTGACGCCACAATCAGATTACCCTCCGACTGCAACACTGTCATCCCTGTACAAGCATTGGCCATCCCACAGTACAAGCACTGGCCATCCCACCTCCAGGACTCTAGTTTGGCTAACTGGTTTAATAAAATCCCTTCATAAAAATTGCCCTGATCACACTACAACAGCATATCATTAAAAACTCTCCATGCACACCTACCTCCTAGATACTCAGGCCCCTAAAACTCAAAACCTCCTGTATTAATTCACTTTTGCCATTCCTGGAATGACCACTTTCCCTCCTGCCTTCAACCCCACATTTATATACCCTCTTATTTAACCTGTCCCTCTCCATTCTCTCTGCATGAGTCAACCACTTCAACAACCCTTCCTCCATCTGGTGAATAATATCCCTGGTTACCCCCAATGACTTTTAATTGTTGTGTTCCAAAGTGTCTGCATGACACTCACACCACACACTGCATGACACACCACACACTGCATGACACTCACACCACATGCTGCATGACATGCCACACACTGTATGACACACTGCATGACATACCACACACTGCATGACACACACCACACACTGCTTTCAAATGTGACACCTCCACTGTCTTCAGTCTTCTTTATTACTATGAATACATAATTAACATGGGCTACTAATATGCAGCCAGACTAGAGGTGAGTTGAAGAATTATAACTTCCTATATTGTCTCTGCACTAAGATATTTGATTACTAACCTGGCAATGAATGGATGAAGGACAATATCTGTGTTCTTGTTATCTTGAGTGGGGTCATAGTTATTCCACTCAAGGGCTGGGTTTTCTCCCATTACACGAAGACGTTCCCCAGAGGAACTACGAGGACGTCCGCCCTTTACACGAACTAAATCATACCACGATCCTACAACACAGATCAATCAAAATATTATTATTGCATCAAATCCTTTAACATATAGTATACCTAAAGCTTCAAAATATGCTAGAACTTTATACAATTTCTTTTCAATTATTAACACATCGGCCATTTCCTACCAATGTAGGATGGTCTTGCCAGAGGCCCACTTACACTACAGTTATATGACTGCAACATTAACACCCCTCCTTCAGAGTGCAGGCACTGTATTTCCCATTTCCAGGACTCAAGTCCAACCTGCCAGTTTCCCTGAATCCCTTGATAAATATTACCTTGTTCACACTCCAACAGCACATCAAGTTCTAAAAAATCATTGTCTCCATTCACTCCTATCTAACATGCTCATGCATACTTGCTGGAAGTCCAAGCCCCTCGTACACAAAACCTCCTTTACCCCCTCCCTCCAACCTTTCCTAGGCTGAGTCCTACCCTGCCTTCCCTCCACTACAGATTTATACACTCTTGCAGTCATTCTATTTTGTTCCATCCTCACTACATGTCCGAACCACCTCAACAACCACTCCTCGGCTCTCCGGATAATAGTTTTGGTAATCCCACACTTCCTCCTAATTTCCAAACTACAAATTCTCTGCATTATATTCACACCACACATTGCCCTCAGACAATGTCTCCACTGTCTCCAGCCTTCTCCTTGTTGCAACATTCACCACCCATGTTTCACACCCATATAAGGGCATTGGTATAACTATACTCTCATATATTTCCCTCTTTACTTCCCTGGATAAAGTTTTTTGTCTCCACAGACTCCTCAATGCACCACTCACCTTTTTCCCCTCATTAATTCTATGATCCACTTCATCTTTCATAGACCCATCTGCTGACACATCCACTCCTAAATATCCCTAAAGAAGGCTCAAAGAATACCTAGTAGAATTATTTATCTTATTATAGTAATTCTGCTTCATTTTAGTAAACACATGTTGAGCAACATGTTAATTCAAAACTGTATAATGCAGACTCTGCTTCACTTGTATAAACACACATTATATTACTTACCTGTACTTACACTGAAGCCCAAGATATCAATTTGATACTGTCTATCTTCAACTTGAGACCCTGGAACCCCTAATATTCTTGCACGTTCAGCCATGTGGAAAATGTCTGATCGTATCATAATACGAGACAGAGGATTATCCACCTGTGGAGTAATTAAAATTGAGTCTAACTGTACTAGAAACATGTTGTGGATTGAAGTGTCCTCACTAGAGGTATCTCTTGCAGGAAAGAGGAGCCGGATATTTTCAGTGTGGAGGTAGACCAAAGGTAATGTGTGGTTGTTGATCCCCATTCCCACTGGTTCCTTGGCAATTATTCTGCCTGTGTTCAGCAGTTGTTTTGGGACTTGCAGTTGTAACCATGGCTCATATACCGTGGCAAAAATCTGTAATGACGCTGGATAGCACACACAGTCAAAGGGTTGTACTCTTATGTCTACTTCACTCAGATAGTGATCACTTGTGTTATCCATTGGCAAAGACCTGAAATGCAAAAATGTCCATTAAAACATATTAACATTTATTAAACATGCCCTTTGAAATGATAAATATATTCCAGTAATCACTAATGTACTCATATATACTGACTGTTAAACCATATATGTATTACCTGTTTTCACTGAGGTGTTTCTGAATGAGTGTGTTCCAACAAGAATGAATGTTCTTGCATAATGCTGTGGTGAATGTCAGTGATATAAAACCATGTGCCTTGGGTTGTTCTGTTTGACTGCTGTCACCTTTCTCACCAAGGTAGTGTGGGTCAACAGTGCCACTACTGGGGTTAATAACCTTCAGGTCATGAGTCAGCTGGTCTCCACAGGTCATGACAACACCTTCATGCCCTCCAGCTACCCATGCATTGTTCCTGTTATAAACACACAGATCAATTAGTCAAATCCAATTAAATAATAACATTACACATATAACCTACACATAGGAGAGAGGAGCTAATGATGACGTTTCAGTCCAACTTGGACCATTTACAAAGTCAAACTTTTATAAAGCCAGACTTTGTAAATGGTCCAAGTAGGACCGAAACATCGTGGTAAGCTCCTCTCTCTCTCTTATGTGCGGGTTATTTGTGTATTGTTCCAGTCACAGTATTGTGCACTTTTCTTCTTTATAAATAATTATTTTGATTGGTGTGTATACACACAGTGACTGACTCCTTCCAGTGCAAATGATATGGACACAAATAAGTCTCGTAGTTTCCCTATTTTTCCTTTTTCTCCAAGCAGTAACAAGTTTAAATGTTGTTAGTTTTATTTTACAGATAAAGAACTAGAACCATTTTTTTTTTTCAGAGGTTTAAGCTTCCTATTTCTTTAGATTATCAAATTCACATTATTAATTACACATAATCACAAGGCAAATAAAACAATTCAAAGTACAGTAAGCTATAATTTACATTCAGAAATACATGTCCATAATTCATTGTCTTCAGCAGTCAGTAAATTTAGACAAAACTGGTAACATCTCAATCTTTTATACCAAGAGATAATGGATTCTTAGTCAAGCAAGCACTGTGTAAGGAGTGAGGGGCATTCCTTCCAGAGAAGACATCGCTATTTATATGCAGCAACCACTTGAACCTCAACACTGTATGAAAGTGACCCAGCGCTGGGGGATAACTTTAAAAGTGGAATTCATTACAGACAGCCTTGTCATCTGAGCATTTTTCACACTCATGTGCAGATCATTTAAATCATAAGCAGGTTCCTCATATATCAAAAACAAGTAATACACATCAGTGGTGTCAAGCTTGGAGTTCTACACACCTAATACAATGCACTATTGGTATTAGGGCTTCAACAAAGCTTATTGCCCTGCAGATGTGACAAAAACACCTCAGAGCTTCAACAAAGCTTATTGCCCTGCAGATGTGACAAAAACACCTCAGAGCTTTAACAAAGCTTATTGCCCTGCAGATGTGACAAAAACACCTCAGAGCTTCAACAAAGCTTATTGCCCTGCAGATGTGACAAAAACACCTCAGAGCTTCAACAAAGCTTATTGCCCTGCAGACATGATGAAAACACCTCAGGACTTCAACAAAGCTTATAGTGGTGGTGAAGTGTTTCATCACATTTGAAGGTTTCATTTATTAATAAGCTTCATAAGAGGCAATTTGTCAATTTATTACCTCAAATAGTACACTGATTTCCATGCTTCAACTTGAGAATGTTTCTTCTGACTGGCTTCAAATTTTCAAAATCATTATCAGCTTTGGATAAAGAAATAAATGCAGTATATTGTTATCTTATATTGTTATCTTATCTTATATTATTTTATATTGTTATCTAATACTGACACAGTGAGCTTTATCAAGTCACATACTTGATAAAGCTCACTATGTGGACAAAAGGTCATAAATAAAAGATCACATTATGATTCACTTCTGTCTTCATCTAAAGCACATTAGGGTGATGTTGAAAATTTGAAGCCAATCAGAACAAACATTCTCAAATTAAAGCATGGAAACCAATGTACTATTTGAGGTAATAAATTGACAAATTGCCTCTTAACAAAGCCTATTAACAAATAAAACCTTCAAACATGATAAAACACCTCCCTGGTGTGAAAGTTCCAGCAAACCTTATAGTCTGGCAGACATAATACTGTACAACACAACCCACTGATGCCAGGATTCCATCCAAGAGGAAATTACCTATTTTTCCAGAGGTACATGTAGGCTCACCAGGACAGGTCCTGGCCTGGGTCTTCTCCATTTCCAATAGTTAACCCGTAAATGGTCCAAACGTATATATACGTTTTTACTGCTAGTGCCCCAAACGTATTATTTATTATTTATTTGTCATACATTCAACATTGCCACGATAAGCCTGAGTCGCCTAGACATGAAAGAATGGGTGTGCGCACTCACTGTGCACCATATTAAAATAACTGGGGATGCCTGGGTACCATATGCTCTTTTTTCCTATAAAAAACTATTTTTTTTTTTCTCAAAAAATTTGGGGCACTATGGGAGAGAACGTATATATACGTTTGGACCGTTTATGGGTTAAATGCAACATGATAACTTCAGTATACTTAACATAACTGTAAGCCAGAGAATGAATGAACCCCCTAAGTTTTAAGAAAGTAATAGAAATGTTTTTAACTGTGCTAAGAAGATATACCAGCGCTTACATCAATAGACAACACTTGCTAGCTAATATTGTGAATCATAAAAACAAAATAATGAAATAAATTTTGAAGGTTTGGAAAGCACTATTAATAAAAAAATTACTGCAGCCAAAATGGAATTAAACTAGATAAAAAAAAAAAATCAGCTTACACTTCCATCAATTCTGCCAGTTTTCTCACGCTCTTCTTAGCACCTCCAGCATAACTTGTATGTATTCATTTTGAGTACCATAGTTAATATCCAGAGACAAGATGGAGTAATGAAAAATGCAAAATCATGTGATAAACAAAAGCCAGTACCACATGCAATGGTTGCAGAAGACAAATGGAATCATGAGTGGCAGTGCAGGTGAAGGAAGATGCAGTGCTTCTCTGAACAAAACAATCCCTCACCTACACACTCCATGCCTCTTGCCAAGACCCTCGCATTTACTTCTCTTACAACCCCATATTATTTTATTATTATCACACTGGCCGATTCCCACCAAGGCAGGGTGGCCCAAAAAAGAAAAACTTTCACCATCATTCACTCCATCACTGTCTTGCCAGAAGGGTGCTTTACACTACAGTTTTTAAACTGCAACATTAACACCCCTCCTTCAGAGTGCAGGCACTGTACTTCCCATCTCCAGGACTCAAGTCCGGCCTGCCGGTTTCACTGAACCCCTTCATAAATGTTACTTTGCTCACACTCCAACAGCACGTCAAGTATTAAAAACCATCTGTCTCCATTCACTCCTATCAAACACGCTCACGCATGCCTGCTGGAAGTCCAAGCCCCTCGCACACAAAACCTCCTTTACCCCCTCCCTCCAACCTTTCCTAGGCCGACCCCTACCCCGCCTTCCTTCCACTACAGACTGATACACTCTTGAAGCCATTCTGTTTTGCTCCATTCTCTCTACATGTCCGAACCACCTCAACAACCCTTCCTCAGCCCTCTGGACAACAGTTTTGGTAATCCCGCACCTCCTTCTAACTTCCAAACTACGAATTCTCTGCATTATATTCACACCACACATTGCCCTCAGACATGACATCTCCACTGCCTCCAGCCTTCTCCTCGCTGCAACATTTCATCACCCATGCTTCACACCCATATAAGAGCGTTGGTAAAACTATACTCTCATACATTCCCCTCTTTGCCTCCAAGGACAAAGTTCTTTGTCTCCACAGACTCCTAAGTGCCACACTCACCCTTTTCCCCTCATCAATTCTATGATTCACCTCATCTTTCATAGACCCATCCGCTGACACGTCCACTCCCAAATATCTGAATACATTCACCTCCATACTCTCTCCCTCCAATCTGATATCCAATCTTTCATCTCCTAATCTTTTTGTTATCCTCATAACCTTACTCTTTCTGTATTCACCTTTAATTTTCTTCTTTTGCACACCCTACCAAATTCATCCACCAATCTCTGCACTTCTCTTCAGAATCTCCCAAGAGCACAGTGTCATCAGCAAAGAGCAGCTGTGACAACTCCCACTTTGTGTGTGATTCTTTATCTTTTAACTCCACGCCTCTTGCCAAGACCTCGCATTTACTTCTCTTACAACCCCATCTATAAATATATTAAACAACCACGGTGACATCACACATCCTTGTCTAAGGCCTACTTTTACTGGGAAATAATTTCCCTCTTTCCTACATACTCTAACTTGAGCCTCACTATCCTCATAAAAACTCTTCACTGCTTTCAGTAACCTACCTCCTACACCATACACCTGCAACATCTGCCACATTGCCCCCCTATCCACCCTGTCATACGCCTTTTCCAAATCCATAAATGCCACAAAGACCTCTTTAGCCTTATCTAAATACTGTTCACTTATATGTTTCACTGTAAACACCTGGTCCACACACCCCCTACCTTTCCTAAAGCCTCCTTGTTCATCTGCTATCCTATTCTCCGTCTTACTCTTAATTCTTTCAATAATAACTCTACCATACACTTTACCAGGTATACTCAACAGACTTATTTATTATTTTTTATTTTATTATCACACTGGCCGATTCCCACCAAGGCAGGGTGGCCCGAAAAAGAAAAACTTTCACCATCATTCACTCCATCACTGTCTTGCCAGAAGGGTGCTTTACACTACAGTTTTTAAACTGCAATATTAACACCCCTCCTTCAGAGTGCAGGCACTGTACTTCCCATCTCCAGGACTCAAGTCCGGCCTGCCGGTTTCCCTGAACCCCTTCATAAATGTTACTTTGCTCACACTCCAACAGCACGTCAAGTATTAAAAACCATTCATCTCCATTCACTCCTTCAAACACGCTCACGCACGCCTGCTGGAAGTCCAAGCCCCTCGCACACAAACCTCCTTTACCCCCTCCCTCCAACCTTTCCTAGGCCGACCCCTACCCCGCCTTCCTTCCACTACAGACTGATACACTCTTGAAGTCATTCTGTTTCGCTCCATTCTCTCTACATGTCCGAACCACCTCAACAACCCTTCCTCAGCCCTCTGGACAACAGTTTTGGTAATCCCGCACCTCCTCCTAACTTCCAAACTACGAATTCTCTGCATTATATTAACACCACACATTGCCCTCAGACATGACATCTCCACTGCCTCCAGCCTTCTCCTCGCTGCAACATTCATCACCCGAGGAGAAGGCTGGAGGCAGTGGAGATGTCATGTCTGAGGGCAATGTGTGGTGTGAATATAATGCAGAGAATTCGTAGTTTGGAAGTTAGGAGGAGGTGCGGGATTACCAAAACAGACTTATCCCCCTATAATTTTTGCACTCTCTTTTATCCCCTTTGCCTTTATACAAAGGAACTATGCATGCTCTCTGCCAATCCCTAGGTACCTTACCCTCATCCATACATTTATTAAATAATTGCACCAACCACTCTAAAACTATATCCCCACCTGCTTTTAACATTTCTATCTTTATCCCAGAAAGATACAGGAATGAAATGTCATTGCGAGGCCCAGTGAATCACCTTCCTGGAAGAGGGAGAAATATGTGCCTGAGGAAAGTTGAGTAGGAATGAAGCAATGCTCCCTCAACCTAAGGCCCGAAATCATCAGATCTGTAATCATCATACATTAGTCATATCTACTCACGAAAAGCATATTTTTAATAGATAAGGTCTACATGTCTTACAGAATACTGTTAATTGGCATAACATATAATTTAAAATAACACTCCACTAACCAAGCTGTTCTTGAACCCTTTCAGGGTCTGTCCCGTAGATCTACGGTTTTGCAGCCAGGGTCCAAACTGTAGATCTATGCCATGAGCTCATCTCACTCAGAAAACAGTTAGTGGTAAATCTGGGCCTAGAAATGAGAGAACACATCTATGTAGTATGTGTGCACCACATAAAACATATCCTGCAGCACGCAGTTCATGAGAGAAAAAACTGCGGTCATAATTTTGGATTAAAACAGCGACTTTGCAGTGTTTTTTTGTATGTTTTTTACAGTTGTATTTGCGATTTCTTGGTCTCATTTGATAGAATGGAATATATATTACAGAAATAGAGTTGATTTTGATTGGTTTTAGCACTGAAAATGGCTTGAAACTGAGCTCAAAGAAACGGAATTGTTTGATTTTTGCCAATGTTCAAGAGTGAACAAATGACATCACACATCAGCTGGTGGGTCTAAAGTGTGCTCATGAATGCGCTGATATTATTAATACAATTATTACAATATTGCATAACAGTAAATCATCTATTTTTTTGTGTGAATAAAAATTCATTATGTGAATAAAAAATAAAAATGGAATTCATCTGTAAAGCCTGGAAACATAACTAATCAACAGAGGAAATGTTATTTCAGTGCCAGGAATGTCTGCATTGTTTATTTTTGACTCAATTTTGAAACTGGAATATTTTGAACTTTGTGTGAAAGTGGCCAAATTACCAATTTCCGATCTCTTTATTGGGTAGTTGACATAGTTGATTGAGTGATTTCTTGTGCTCAATCAATAAAATAGAAGTAATACTAGCAAAATGGCTAAGAATCTGGTTAATTGGAATAATGTTATTGGCCTAAAATGGGAGTCAAAGTGGGCATAATTGCCGATACGTAAATATCGCTGACGCAGCAAAATTTTGCGAAAGCGTAATTTCATCAATTTTCCATCAAATTTCATATTTTTTGTTTTATTACCTTCAGAAAAAAAGATTCTCTACCATATTGTAAGAAAAAATAACAAAAAACTTTTTTGAACATTCTTGGACCCCACGGACAAGTTTCAGATTGGGGGTCTGGACACTGAAAGAGTTAAAGAACACCTTAGTGAAGTATTATTTTAAATTACTTATGCAAATTAACAGTTTTCTGTAAGACATAATATAGACCTCATCCATCCAAGTTATGCTTTACACAAGTAGACATGACTGATGATAGTGGACCTGTTATCAATCATAATACATACTTACCTTGTACATTGGGTCACCTTTTCGAACAATTTTTGTTTTTATAATATTGAATATGATATCCAAACAGTAATTAACCCTCAAAGTCTCCAAACGTAGATCTACGTTTTTTCAACATTTGAAAGTATGTAAAAAAAACTTTGATCTATTTTTTTTATATATTTGAAAATATATAAAAAAAAGTAGATCTACCTTTAGAGCAGTACACTAAACTGTCCATGTTTGGACAGTTTAAGGGTTAATTAATGTATACATTCATAAATCTATTTCTATTTAGGTTATTATTATTATAATCAAAAAGAAGTGCTAAACCTGCTAGGGTCACACAGCCCATGCACGAACAGTATCGACAATTGATTTTGTTGACCATTCACCGTCGTCGTTACAAGCTGTACTAATTCATTCATAAAAATAGTCTTCACTCCTCTGTTTACTATGTCTGAGTTGCCTGATATTATTTTTCCCCAGGAGACACTGTCCAGGAACACTTTTTTGCAGCTGTACAGCTACAAGTTGAACATACACAAAGACCTTAGGATGCCCTTTACAAAACTAATTCCTCCACTGATGCCACACACCTGCCAAGATTCTTTAAAAGGAGTCTATGGCATGGAGCTACATGTGCAACAGTTAGTAACCCTTAAACTGTCCAAACAGATCTACGTTCACATGCGTAGTGCTCCAAAAGTAGATCTACTTTTTTTACATATTTTCAAATATAACAAAAAAAAACACGTAGATCAAGGTTTTTTACACATTTTCAAATGTAAAAAAAAAAGAAGGTCTACTTTTTTTACATACTTTCAAATGTTGAAAAAACGTAGATCTACGTTTGGACAGTTTAACCCGTAAACGGTCCAAACGTATATATACGTTTTTTCAACATTTTAAAGTATATAAAAAAAGTAGATCTTTTTTTTTTTACATTTGAAAATGTGTAAAAAAACTTTGATCTACTTTTTTTTTTGTTATACAGTGGACCCCCAGTATTCGATGGCATCGGTATTCGATAAATCCGGTATTCGATGCATTATGTCGCAAAAAATTTTCCTCGGTATTCGATACGATTCGTACGAGACCTGTCCACATGTGGCCTGAACTGCCCCTTGTGTGCCAGTGTTTACAAGCCAGCCAGTGTGCGCGCATCTAAGGATACATTCGGTACATTCCATATTATCCATATTATCACTGTGTTTGGTGCTTGTTTCTGCAAAATAAGTCACCATGGGCCCCAAGAAAGCTTCTAGTGCCAACCCTGTGGTAAAAAGGGTGAGAATTAGTATGGAAATTAAGGAAGATTTTGAAGGGTTTGGGGCTAACCCTGAGAAGCCTATACCAGTTGTGGAATACATTGTGCCTACTTCAAAAATTAAGGAAATGTGTGCACAGTGGGTTGAAGTGCAAACCTTTATGGATGAAAATCACCCTAACACAGCTATTACAATGACAATGTTGTGGCCTATTTTAGGCAAATTGTAAAGGAACGGGAGGTACAGAGCTCTACGGACAGATTTGTTGTGCGACAGAGGTCCAGTGACTCTCAAGGTGGTCCTAGTGGCATTAAAAGAAGGGAAGTAACCCTGGAAAAGGACTTGCTACCTCAAGTCCTAATGGAAGGGGATTCCCCTTCTAAACACTAACACCTCTCCCCTCCTTCCATCCCATCAATCATCACCAGATCTTCATTAAAGGTAAGTGTCAATTATTTTATTGTTATTGTAATTATTCTATTGCATTAAACTTAATATTTCATGCAGTAATTTTTTTTTTCATACTTTTGGGTGTCTTGCACGGATTAATTTGATTTTCATTATTTCTTATGAGGATAATTGATTCGGTTTTCGATATTATCGGTATTCGATGAGCTCTCAGGAACGGATTAATATCGAATACCGGGGGTCCACTGTATTTGAAAATATGTAAAAAAAAGTTGATCTACTTTTGGAGCACTACGCATGTGAACATAGATCTGCCTGGACCATTTACGGGTTAAGGGTTAAGTAGTTACATATGTTAATTTTTATATGTTATATATAGGTTAATTTTTATTTTCTTTTTATATTTAGAAATCAGAACAGTAAAAATAAATATATCATTCATTCGTGCAATAAAGCTAGTGACACGACAGTTTAGTGTGCAGACTAATAAAACACAAATACATAATGGTCACTGGATGAAAGGACACACATACTTAGGGCATATTTAGTAGATATGTTTTGATCCTGGGATCTTGATCATTGCAAAACCAAGGTCCAAGAACCATAGTGTGTACACTTGCTTCTTTCCATCCATATTGTTGGTATTACAATACTTTCCACCTTCATAATGTTCAATGTATAATCCATAGTCTTGCTCCATTATTAATCAATAAAACAGAAGTAATACTAGCGAAATAGCTAAGAATTTGGTTAACTGGAATAATGTTATTGGTCTAAAATGGGAGTCAAAGCGGGCATAATTGCTGATGTGTAAATATCACTGACGCAGTGATATTTACGCATTAATTTTTTAGTTGTTTAACTTTCAATCACTGAGAAAGGCAATATTCAGAGAGCGGAAACATTATATTAGTGAACTGAAGAAGAATAAGATGGAGCAAAAAAAAAACATGATTTTTTACCTTTTAGCAAAATGCAGCACACTGATTGCAGTCACTTTGAGTTTAACCTTGGAGTACACCTGGTGAAGATCAAGAGCAGTTGTCAAGTCTTCCATTTCTGCCCGCAACTTTCGTAATTCATTACCCTCCTTGGCATAGAGAGAAGCTGACACACGTGCCACTGTCCACTGCACCCAGGCGGTAACTATTGGTCCACAGGTGGCTTCTGCTTCTGCTTCACTCACAACACCAACTGTAAACATGTAAACACTCACCACTATCTGCATCACTGATTCATGAAATTGTAATGACACAATTGCAAACAAACCATACCACGTATGGATCCTATTGAAGCTAGCTGCCCAGTGGCTAACTCGTTGGTCTGGAGTTTCGAGACTCTCTGATCGCAGGTTCTAACCCCACCTGTGGTATGGTTTGCATCACTGATTCTGAGTAATTAGGTACAGTAGCATGTACAGAGTACAATAATCACAACAATGACAGATTTTAGAACACAAACTAGAGAAGAAGTATATGATTTTTCAGTGCGCTATGTGGTGCAGGGTGCACTGCACTACGCATGTTGGTTGTAAATTATTCCAGCAACTATACTTACTTATTTTATTAATATTACTTTTAATTAAAGCTTTAACCCTTTCAGGGTTTCCGACGTACTAGTATGTTTAGTACGTACTAGTATGTACTAGTATGCATAAATTCTAATGTCCTCAAATCAAGCAGGAAAAGGCTTGTAGTCCTAGATGTGAGAGAATGGGTCTCCATGGTCAGTGTGCGCAGTACAAAAAAAATCAGGGACCCAGTGGTGCATTGTGAGAAAGCCATTTTATTACACCTTGTTCACCATGTCTAGCGCTAAAAAACTCCTCACTCCTCGGCTAACTGGGGCTCTTTTGTTCCCAAGTGACAGTTCAAACACAGATGGAAGTGTCAGTGAAGATGAATTTCATGGATTTGAGGAGTTTGTGACCGAAAGCAATGTCCAGGAAACCAGAAGGAAGGAAGGAAGGAAGGAAGAAGGAAGGAAGGTAGGAAGAAAGGGAGGAAGGAAGGAAGAGATGAGAAGAAGGAAGAAAGGAAGAGATGAGAGGAAGGAGGGAAGGAAGGAAAGAGGGAAGGAAGGAGGGAAGGAAGGAAAGAGGGAAGGAAGAAGGGAAGGAAGGAAAGAGAGAAGGAAGGAGGGAAGGAAGGAAAGAGGGAAGGAAGGAAGGAGACCATCAACCTAGGAAAACCCAAAAAATTCAGACAGTGACTTATTTCCATGTGGGTTGGTGGGGTGGGGAGGAAGTTGACTGGCAGTTAGGGTGGTGAGTGATGGTGTTATTTGTCATTGTGACACTAATTATGCTGATGATTCAGCATATTTACAAGTCCACCCCCACACAACAACTATGAGCTTTACAGAAGCTGTAGCAGTTCTGGGAAGTGTCCAGTGACTTTATATGTGTATATATATATGATAGAAAAATATTAATAAACAACACTTTTTTATTGTTGGTTTGTGTAAACATGTTTTGTAAACAGTATAATGACAGTAAAGTTTGTGCTGTTATTGTGTAGTATACAATGAGTGAATATATAGCAAATAGTTTTTATATTGGTCTCAGAGGCCATAAAAGTTACTTGAAAAAATAAAATATTAAAAATAAAAGAAAAAGTAGAAAAAAACAAAATAAACTATTATCGAGTGACCGGCAGTCGGCGATGTTGCCATAAGCGATTCAATTTCTGTCAATTTCACGCCTCCGTTTTCTCTGTAAGTATTTATCGCAAAAAAAATTTGGGGGCCTATAATACTCACAAGAAAAAAAAAAAAATTTCACAAGAAAAATAATTTTTGTTTTTTTGTGTAAATTTATCGACCCTGAGAACAAGTTTGGGAGAGGGCCTGTTGGCCCTCAAAGGGTTAAAGGCAAAATCTCATAACTCTAAAATGATTAAATTTCTCTTATGTCAAGACTGGCTGGTATGTGGACAGCTGAGCATCAACTCTCACCTTGCCTACGTACTTATTTAGTGAGAGAAGACACCCACTATGAAATCTTGGGAAAATACTGAAGGAAACATGGTTAGACATTTATAAGTGATACTTGCCACTAAAGTAAAAATTATTCCGAGTCAATTTATAACGTTTCACAATCTATATTCATAATTTGTTTCAATTCATCTGCTGTGTCAGCAAGTTTATAGGAAAGGTGAAAAGGTGAAGGGTGAAGGGTTAGTTGTTAGTGAGGCAAGCAGCTATTAGGACGTGGCACCCCTTCTAGCGAAGAGACTTTAGGCTCAAGTTGCTGAAACATCACCACCAATGTTAAGGTGATCCAGTGTTGGTAACAACCTTCTAGAGAAGAGACTTAACCCTTACAGTGTTGGTCCTGTAATATTACGGCTTGAGAGCCAGTGTCGGTCCCGTAATATTTCAGCAAAATTCTAGCTCCTTCAAATCTGGTGGAAGAAAGCTGGTAGGCCTACGTATGAAAGAATGGGTCTACGTGGTCAGTGTGTGCAGTATAAAAAAATCCTACAGCACGCAGTGCATAATGAGAAAAAAAACTCAGACAGTGTTTCTGGTTTAATTAAAACAGCGAATTTGCAGTGTATTTTCGTATGGAATTTATGGTTGTATTCTTGAATTCTTGGTTTCATTTGATAGAATGGAAGATATATTACAGAAATGAAGATGATTTTGAAATTGAGCTCAAAGTAGCAGAAATTTTTGATTTTTGCCTATGTTCGAGAGTAAACAAATGACAACATTGTCCAAGATGTGTCCAACAGACCAGTCTAATACGCAGTCACGAATGGGTTGACATTATTTATACAATTATTATAATACAATTATTATAATAGGTAGTAGGTTGGTAGACAGCAACCACCCAGGGAAGTACTACCGTCCTGCCAGATGACTGTGAAACAAAAACCTGTAACTGCTTTGCATGATGGTAGGATTGCTGGTTTCTTTTTCTGTCTCATAAACACGCTAAGATAACAGGGATATCTTGCTACTCCTACTTACACTTTGGTCACACTTCACAGACACGCACATGCATATATATATATATACATACATCTAGGTTTTTCTACTTTTTCTAAATAGCTCTTGTTCTTTTTTATTTCTTCTATTGTCCATGGGGAAGTGGAAAAGAATCTTTCCTCCGTAAGCCATGCGTGTCGTATGAGGCGACTAAAATGCGGGAGCAATGGGCTAGTAACCCCTTCTCCTGTATACAATTACTAAAAAAAGAGAAGAAGAAAAACTTTATAAAACTGGGTTGCTTAAATGTGCGTGGATGTAGTGCGGATGACAAGAAACAGATGATTGCTGATGTTATGAATGAAAAGAAGTTGGATGTCCTGGCCTAAGCGAAACAAAGCTGAAGGGGGTAGGAGAGTTTCAGTGGGGGGAAATAAATGGGATTAAATCTGGAGTATCTGAGAGAGTTAGAGCAAAGGAAGGGGTAGCAGTAATGTTAAATGATCAGTTATGGAAGGAGAAAAGAGAATATGAATGTGTAAATTCAAGAATTATGTGGATTAAAGTAAAGGTTGGATGCGAGAAGTGGGTCATAATAAGCGTGTATGCACCTGGAGAAGGAGGAATGCAGAGGAGAGAGAGAGATTTTGGGAGATGTTAAGTGAATGTATAGGAGCCTTTGAACCAAGTGAGAGAGTAATTGTGGTAGGGGACTTGAATGCTAAAGTAGGAGAAACTTTTAGAGAGGGTGTGGTAGGTAAGTTTGGGGTGCCAGGTGTAAATGATAATGGGAGCCCTTTGATTGAACTTTGTATAGAAAGGGGTTTAGTTATAGGTAATACATATTTTAAGAAAAAGAGGATAAATAAGTATACACGATATGATGTAGGGCGAAATGACAGTAGTTTGTTGGATTATGTATTGGTAGATAAAAGACTGTTGAGTAGACTTCAGGATGTACATGTTTATAGAGGGGCCACAGATATATCAGATCACTTTCTAGTTGTAGCTACACTGAGAGTAAAAGGTAGATGGGATACAAGGAGAATAGAAGCATCAGGGAAGAGAGAGGTGAAGGTTTATAAACTAAAAGAGGAGGCAGTTAGGGTAAGATATAAACAGCTATTGGAGGATAGATGGCTAATGAGAGCATAGGCAATGGGGTCGAAGAGGTATGGGGTAGGTTTAAAATGTAGTGTTAGAGTGTTCAGCAGAAGTTTGTGGTTACAGGAAAGTGGGTGCAGGAGGGAAGAGGAGCGATTGGTGGAATGATGATGTAAAGAGAGTAGTAAGGGAGAAAAAGTTAGCATATGAGAAGTTTTTACAAAGTAGAAGTGATGCAAGGAGGGAAGAGTATATGGAGAAAAAGAGAGAAGTTAAGAGAGTGGTGAAGCAATGTAAAAAGAGAGCAAATGAGAGAGTGGGTGAGATGTTATCAACAATTTTGTTGAAAATAAGAAAAAGTTTTGGAGTGAGATTAACAAGTTAAGAAAGCCTAGAGAACAAATGGATTTGTCAGTTAAAAATAGGAGTGGAGAGTTATTAAATGGAGAGTTAGAGGTATTGGGAAGATGGAAGGAATATTTTGAGGAATTGTAAATGTTGATGAAGATAGGGAAGCTGTGATTTCGTGTATAGGGCAAGGAGGAATAACATCTTGTAGGAGTGAGGAAGAGCCAGTTGTGAGTGTGGGGAAGTTCGTGAGGCAGTAGGTAAAATGAAAGGGGTAAGGCAGCCGGGATTGATGGGATAAAGATAGAAATGTTAAAAGCAGGTGGGGATATAGTTTTGGAGTGGTTGGTGCAATTATTTAATAAAATGTATGGAAGAGGGTAAGGTACCTAGGGATTGGCAGAGAGCATGCATAGTTCCTTTGTATAAAGGCAAAGGGGATAAAAGAGAGTGCAAAAATTATAGGGGGATAAGTCTGTTGAGTGTACCTGGTAAAGTGTATGGTAGAGTTATAATTGAAAGAATTAAGAGTAAGACGGAGAATAGGATAGCAGATGAACAAGGAGGCTTTAGGAAAGGTAGGGGGTGTGTGGACCAGGTGTTTACAGTGAAACATATAAGTGAACAGTATTTAGATAAGGCTAAAGAGGTCTTTGTGGCATTTATGGATTTGGAAAAGGCGTATGACAGGGTGGATAGGGGGGCAATGTGGCAGATGTTGCAAGTGTATGGTGTAGGAGGTAGGTTACTGAAAGCAGTGAAGAGTTTTTTACGAGGATAGTGAGGCTCAAGTTAGAGTATGTAGGAAA